CAGACAAAAGGTTAATAGATTCCAGACCATAAACACTTTCCCAGTATACTCTAGATTCTTTAACTGTAACACCATAAGACAAGAAATAAAAAGTTGACATATCTTAAAAAAACATTCTTCTCGGGTTAGGGTATAGCTTGGTAGTAAGGAGTTTTGGGCAAGATTAGGCAGGATACGCAAAGACCTGGCTTTAATCCCCATGGCCGCATGGAGAGAGCTAACAGGGAGGAGGCGAAAGTAATGAATGCATTACATACATACATGACATCATCAAAGAAACAAATTTAATTATTAAAAACAACCCTCAGATAAGCTAAGTCATTAAAACAAGTATCATGGATAATTTAACTCCCTTTCTGAACAGAAGCTAAAAGTGCAATGTCAATAAGACATAGAAGGTCACTGAGTACACTGGATGGCCAAGTGGGATCCATTAACATAATGCCAGTAAACAGGGCAGCTAACAGAATGACACTTGGGGTATTCTCCTGTGTCCCAAACACAGAGGCAGAGGCTGGAGAGCCAGGATTTGACAGCTTTGTCTTTAAGGGGAAAACATCACATCGAGTGTGGAAGTTTTAACTGACAAAAATCCATCAATTGTCATGGGGCTGCCAAGCAAATCTAACGCAGATTTTCTGCTGCATGAATAGATACATGTGTTTTTTTTAAAAACAAGAGAGGCAGTGGTAAGCTCCACTCCGCACACATCACACTCACGCACTGGGCATTTGTTTTGGGGCTCCAGTGATAGAAGGGTATCCAGTCTGTTGAAAGAAACCTGAGTGTGGAAGGCTTACCAAAGAGATTCTGTGTGAAGCAAGGTGGGAGGGAGAGAAAGGTGTGGCCTGAACCAAGGCACCCCCTTGAACTTGAAGCTATTCTCAAGTTTATGGGGGGCTTTTATGTAGAACGGCATGGTCATGGGAACCCAGATTTCCATGACTCAGAATATTCCAAAGAGGACAGAACTGCTCAGAGAGATGGCCAGTCTCCAGTCATAGGAAGTATTCTGACATATTCAGTGTAAATAGCAACATGGGTTATCTTTTAATGGTTTATTATTTTTATTTATGTGTGTGTATAACATGAGGGCTGGGCTTGTAGGGGTTTCTGTCCTGCCCAGTTCCCACAGATGGCAAGTCCCAAAGAAAAATCACACAGAGAGTCTACATTAGATATAAACTGATTGGCCCATTAGCTCAGGCTTTGTATTAACTCTTATAACTTATATTAACCCATTATTCTTATCTATGTTAGCCACATGGCTCAGTACCTCTTTCAGTGGAGCAGGTCACATCCTGATTCTTCGATTATCTGGGAAGGACTGGGAGGAATGGACTTCCTCCTTCCTAGAATTTTCCTGTTCTCATTGTCCTGCCTCTACTTCCTGTCTGGTTGACCCGCCTATACTTCCTGCCTGGCCAATCAGCATTTATTTAAAACATGATTGACAGAAACAGACAATTCTCCCACACCATGTGTGCACGCACATGTACATCACATTCACACAGGTACCCTAGAAGGTAGGAATTGGATCACCTGGAACTGGAGTTACGGACTATTGTGAACCATATGATACTGGTGGTGTGCTCTTAACTGTTAGGCCATCTCTGTAATCTCACGGAAAGAAGTTTAATACCAATAAGAAGTAGTGGGATGAGACAAAGCTTCAGACCCTAGAATTCCTCAATTAGAGTCTAGTATTTCTTCACTATAGTCTGTTAGCATCTGAGTTTGATATCCAAAGTGTAAGGTGGATTGTTAGAGGTTTTCAGTATTAATCTCTTGAGCCCAAGAGGTTTTTATATTATTGTATTATTGTTAATGTAAAGGTGTGGGTATTCACAACTTAACAGAGGCTGTCTGAGCCCCCGGTGGGACCTACATAGGTCAGGACTACTTACAATCCCACGTGGAATGGTCAAATGAAAGTACAGGCATCCTAGGAGTTCCTACAAGGTGTCCATCAGTGAGGGCGGGAAAGATGGGTGGATCCTCTCAGAGAACACTTCAGAGTCTGTGTTTGTGTGTTCTGCAGTGAGAGTGGAAATCCCAGCAACAAAGGCACACACAATCAGCAGACACCGCGGGTCATCTCTTTGACTGCAGAACACGGCATGCCTAGCTGGGCTGCTGCTCCACGCATGCGCAGATCTTTTGCAGGGTGTCTGTCTATCAAAGCGCTGTGGAGCTCCCACAGATACACACACTCCAGCTCTGCAGCTCCCGCTACACCCAGCCAGAGCCTCTGATGGACTCTACTGATGGGAGCTTTTAGCCACTAAACCTTTTCTTCACCTCCCAGTGCTTCTGAGCTCTTCCAAACCCCGCCCTTTCATCCATGAACACAAACACTCCCTCCTCTGTTTGTCCCATGGTTCCTAATCCTAATTACAAATATAAGTAATCCCATATGTTTATTAGGCCATTGTGGTCCTGGATGCTTTTCGCATTCACTTTCTCCTTGGTCCATCCTGACAATGCTGGAAAGAATGTTTAGGACAGGAGCTTCTTGAACACCACAGCACTTGTTCAAGGTCACACCGAGGAGAGAAGCCTGTTCTGCAATAAGGGGCCTCTGACCCTTGAACAAGCTTAATAATAGCCTATTAAAAATAGTGCCCAGTGTTCCCATCCCCTTTCTGACCCAGGAAGATCATACTGTTATTTAGGTCTGCAGAAGTCTCCAGGAGACTGAAGTCCACAGAGTAGTCCAAATGGATTCAGCATCACTGGTCCCCCTTGAGGTCCCAGGGCTTCTTGGCAGTAGAGCAAGAAGAGCTAGCATCGGGTACTATGCAAAGAAGGGCTAGCATCAGGTACTATGCAAAGGAGGGCTAGCATCAGGTACTAGTTAGAGACTGTCTGCTTTCACTTCATTTATCTTATAATGGTTGTAAAATAAGTTAATTCACGACAAGCAAACTGTCAAGTGAACATGGAAAAACATCAAGAATATTAATTTAATCAAGCAAAACTTTGAGCAAAATTAATATAACGCATTTAATGGTATCATAGAATTAATGCCCGGCATGGCTGTTAGGCATAGATGGTAAACAGCTTATACCCACGGCTCTAGTCAGAATTGCTTTAGCAGAGCCAAACCAATTTTGAAGTTGCTCTCGCCTCACTTTGTTGGTTCTCTGGTATTTATATAGTTACATTTTGCTGCCTGAAGTTTTTTTGATGCTATTTGCCAGCTAGTGCCTGGACTGTTTCAAGAGGGTAAAGATAATTCAGGCAGGGCTGGAGAAAAGAATGTGTTTCTTTTGAACTGTGTCTATTCCTGACCTTGAGGTGTCCCTGTTTCACAATATAGTCCTTTTTGTCTTACTTTCCCACCGTGGTTTTCTTTCTGTTGTGACGGGTTAGCTGAGAGAACAAGTAACAAGCTCTTATACCTGTCATTTCCAAGAAGAAATGCCTTACTCTGCCCAGAGGAAACGTGACATTCCCAGATGCTGAGCAGATTCATAGACAGCCCTGGACTGTGAAACGTGGAGGGACTGGCGTCTTCTGCCAAACGTGCCCTGAAACCACTGTGCAGTCGCTTCAAGTTTCTGGCTCTCAGGGGAGAGCTGTGAACTGGAATTCAGAGTCTGAGATGATGACCCTGCCATCATTCCAGTTCTCTGGTCTGGATCCAATGTGTGGTTTCTGAGGAGCAGGAATGACCCGGCTCGAAATGGCTCGTCCTCTCTGCTTAGTATGTCCGTGTGGTGAAGCTCTCTCCCCCGGAAGAGGAAAGGGCAGCGATTGGGCCATGGCAAAGCCTGGGGCAGTAGAGAAAGCCTGGCACTAGATCAGAGTCCCAAGTGGATGTGGAATGTGAGGGTAAACTGATGGAGGAGGGCTCAGAGAATAATTGTGGTCCCAACCTTTAAATTTTCTTCAGATGTCTCCTTAGTATTTTCCTAGAACTGGCAATGAGGGCTGTTTCCTCCATTAATAATATATACCCACCCATGGAGGTCAAAGTGGGCTTGCCATCCTAGAGTTTAGAGTGGCAAGTGATGATTTGTGTGTGTGCATGTGTGAGCATTATATATTCAAAATGGTTCTTGAACACAAAGCGGGAGTTCCTTTTACAAGAGAGGGAAAGTCTGGGAAGTGGGAGCCAGAGAGAGAGAGAAAGTCTCAGTGTATGGCCAGAGAAAAACTATGAAAATATGGTTACCATGGGCTGGAGGGTAGCTCTGTTGGTGATTTGCTTGCCTTGAGAACATTAGGACCTGCGTTCCATCCCCCGAAACTGCATTTAAAGATAAAAAAGCAGGGCAGAGGGACATGCTCTTATCCCGCTACCCATGTCCCGTGGGCTCTCAGAATGGGGAGAGGATGCTCAGAGGCAGAGCAGGAAAAGGTCACCTCATGGTCATCACCAAGCATTAATCAGAGCCACCTGTCTCCTACTGTGTATCTGTGGCCCTGCGCCTGTGATGGCAGGAGGCCCTGTCCTTTGCAGCAGGCTACTGTCAAGGTGAAATCTTTGTGAGCGGCATGGACTTAAGCTCATAATTGCACGAGGGTCCTCTGTTGGTACAGTGCCAGGGCTGATGTAGAGAAGCAGAGAATGCATCCACTGAGCAGCAAGGAATCCCTGTAGGGTGTGATTTCAGACTGTCTAGCTGCAGAGGCATCAGGGGGAGTAGGGATGGGGAGTGCAGGAGGCCAGGCTCAGTGCTGGAGTGAAGCAGAGTCCAGAAAGGGATCTGGGACAGCTTCCCTGTGGAGCGCATGGGTGGTCTGCAGTGGTCTGGAAGACAGGAGAGGGCTCATGATGTCTTCTAGCATCTGCAGTTGGTGTGGCTGGTCTCTGTACACTCAGCCTTGTCTGATTAGTTAGCCTTGAAGGAATGATCCTGAAGCCTGGGCTGGCCTGACATAGGCCGTTCTTCAGCCATCCACAGCTCCAGGAACTCATCTCCAGGAACCATGACTGTAGGGTAGGTGGATCTTGGGAAGGACCCAGTCAGCTTCTCTTCTGTCACCTCTAGGAAAATCGCAGCTTATGATGAAGAAATCCAGCATCTCTATGAGGAGATGGAGCAGCAGATCAAAAGCGAACGGGAGCAGTTCCTCCTAAAAGTGAGTGTTGCCCTCCTGGGTCTGGTACTTGGGCATGGCTGCTTAGCCTGTAGACTCTGAACACCTTTCCCCACTAAGATCCCAGCACACTACCATGACTGTCTTCTTCCGCCTTGATGTTCAAGCCACTTATCACCTTCAAGCAAAAATGTATAGTGGACTTGTTTGTCTTCGTCTCACGGTGTCTGTTTCCTCCTACTAATGTGTGGGTTCATCTGTTTGCTAACCTAGCCTCAGTTTTTAGAGCATTCCTGGACTGTAGGAGATGCCCCATATTTGCTCAACCAGTACGTGAGCGAGCAGGTGACGCATGGAGGTGTGGGCAGATGAGCTGACAGTAAAGAAGGAGAGAACAGAGGGAGGGACTGGGGATGAGAAAGGATGGATGGATAGGTGGATGGATGGGTGGATGGATGGGTGGGTGGGTGGATGGATGGATGGATGGATGGATGGATGGGTGGATGGGTGGATTCATGGATGGATGGATGGATGGATGGATAGATGGACGGACAGACGGTTGAAGGAAGATAAGTGGATGAATTGTTGGTGTGTGGACAGGAGAGAGGGAGAAGAAAGAGAGAGCAAGAAGGAAATAGGAAAGGAGGGGCAAGGAAGAAGTAAATGTGTAAATGGAGGGATTGCAGACCATACTTTTGCAAACAAAGCAACCTGGACATTGGGTGTCACTCAGTTGAGCCCTGCACCTATATAGCAGGACCATCAAAACATACCTGCTCATTTTATTCTCTAAGCAGCAGCCCCGAAGAAAACAGTCATTAGAGACCAGGTTGCCCATCATTTCTTTTTAGACAGCTATAAAATACAGTCACCAAGAAGAAACAAGGTTACCATCCTCAGCTCCGGGAGAGATAATGTGGAGATTGCACCCCCTGTTCCTACTGTACCCTGATCCTGGTACGTCCCTGATCCTGGTACACCCAGTGTACCCTGGTTCTGTTGCAGCCATGCTCCTGCCATACCCCTGCTCCTAGGGCACCCTGGTTCCTAGGGCACTCCCTTTTCCTGCTGTACCCTGTTCCTAATACACCCCTGTTCTCCATATGCTCCTATTCCCAGAGCATCCTACTCCTAGAGCACCCATGTTCCTGGGGTACCCCTGCTCCCAATGTACCCCTGTTCTGGTGCACCCCCCATTCCTGGTGAACTCCTATTCCTAATGCATCCCTGTTACTAGACCTTTCTAGCCCTTGCTGTCATATTTGGAGGTGAGGACAGACAAGGTGAGGGCCCTTTCCTCTACCATGTCCAAGCTAAGCAAGATCAGTTTTGGTGTGTCCTATTTGAAAAACAAAGACAAAAACCGAGGAAACTCTATTCTCTGTCCTCCGTGAGTTCTCAGCGAAAGGCTGCTGGTTTTGGACAGCAGCCTCTGCTGCCTCTCAGCGCTAAGCCCAGTCTATTGTCTCGCGCTTTTCACTTGATCCAGATTTCAATTTTCCGCTGCTTTGGATTATCCACACCGCTGCTCCACTTGTAATCACAGATGCCATTCACACGGCAGGGAAATCAGAATGCCTTCCAGAAATATCTGGCCGGAGCCCATGGAGGCTTGCCAGTATTCCCAGACCACTCCTATTGTCCTTGGGTGTTTTAAACCCTTCGGACCAGAGTTTGGATGCTGGTCATACCCTTATCAGTACATTTGACCATCAGAAAACTACCCACCCATTTGCATCCTCCAACTCCAGACTGGGAGATACCTCTCAATGGTGTCCCAATAGGGTCAATAGCATACTCCCTGGGCCCTGTGGAAATGGGTGCATCAGCTTGGGGTTTAGAAGCCGCTCTCTGTTCCAGCTGATTTCGTGAGTTGCTTGCTCTGTGAAAAGTGGCTGAGTGAACTAAGTTGATCCCTCATAGCTGATTTTCTTTAAAGAAAGGTGAGGGAAAGAAAGGTGAGGGCAGAAACTGAGTGGGCACCATGCAGACTGTTACACGTGGTTCAGACGAGGATGGGCACAGGTCTTCCTGTATCTTCTCTGTTCATTGATCTGTTTGGATGTGAGCAGAGGAGCTAGCAGCATTGCCAGAAGAGGCCCAAGCCCTTGAACAAAGGTGACCAAGGGCTTGTGAGGTAGGAAGAACCATTTCCTGCCAGACATGGTAGCCAGGACCCCTGTAATCACCCAACATAGCACCTCATAGCTGGCTCCTCTGCCATGGGCTATCCTGGTGCCTTCAGTAGCTCCTGATGTGTTTTGGTTTTTCAGTTTATTCGATAGCTTGTCCCTACCTTGCCATAGACGGGGTATTGCAGGAAGCAAAGGGCTGCTGGCATCTCTTCTGTTGAAATCCAGAAAAATGAAGCAAGTTAGAAGAAAAGTGCAGGGACTCAACCCCAAGTTTCCCAACTCAGAGCCTCGAAGCCTTCTGCCTGATCTGGCTCTGCCGGGGATGGCCTGCCTCTGAAACCCCTTATTATCCGTGACACTTCAGCCAGACAACATCACATCTGTACCCTTCAAACTTATTCTGTTTGTGTGGAGAAGCCCAGTCTAGGGCGGGATGGTAAGAGGATGTGGAATGCAGGATAGAGACATCGTGAGGAACACGGCCCAGGAACCCTGAGTCTTGGTGGATGAGCAGTGAGCACTCAGATCCTCCAGGAGACGGGAGTAATGCGTTGTGCATAGAGCTAGTGTGGTATAAGGGACCAGCGACAGTGTCCATTGTGAACTAGCATCTCCAAGGTGGAGGCCGCCTTAGACATTTATGGATGGGAGGTTGGCCAAGGAGTCAGACTCAGGCTCCTCCTCTCCTGTCCTGCTCCACCAATGACTGTCCTTAGGTCATTGCTTGGGTGCAAAAGCTTGGTAAGGTGCTGCCACTGGATAGGCCACACTCAACATTTTCTGGCCTATCTCTAAGCACCAACTTGGTCTCATGGGTTGTCAGTGGTGGGGTAAGTGGGCCTCGGGTTTCAGGAGAAGGGCCTCAGAGTGCAAAGGTGGCCCAGCTGTCCCAGCTGATGAGAGTGTTCACATGCATGCGTCCAAGGCTGAAAGCCAGGTGTGCCGGGTGTAGGACCCACTGTCTTATCTGTTGGCTTGGCAGGACACAGAGAGGTTTCAAGCCCGCAGTCGGGAGCTGGAAAAGAAGCTGAGCGCCAAGGAGCAGGAGCTGGAGCGTCTCATCCAGAAGCAGAGCAGGGTAAGTTACTGCGCAGACTCCGTGGCCCTTCAGCGCGTCCAACTCACCTTCGCTTCTGCCCCACCGCCTCTCATGGGTTTTTAAACTTACCCCAGAAGACTTGTGTGTCTGTATGTGTCTTTCTTTAAAGTCTCCATATGGTGGATATATCCACATATGCGTGCAATCCTACCACTGGGTAGACTGAGGCAGAAGGATTGTGAGTTCCAGGACAGCCTTGTGGACAGAGTTCAAAATACAGCCTGGGCTTTGTAGTGAGGCCCTGTTTCAAAATGCTAAAAGTACTTTAAGCATTTTAAAATTTAAATTTAAAACAAAGTCACAGATGAACTTAGATAATGCCACAGTTGTGTGTTTAACCTAGAAAAGTCCCCACGAGTCCCCAACCCTCGTGGATCTGAGGACAGTTTCACATAAATATACACAAGGTAATTAAGGATGCTCCACCTTGAAGCTGGATTAGGTAACCTGCAGAAGAAAGGAGGGATCCAAGGGAGTACAGAGAGACTTGTGAGACCCTGATACTTCAGGGCAAGTGCAGGCTTAGTTGTCCTCTTCGGCAAAGTTGTGTACAACCCCAGCTGGTAAAGTCTCTTCAAAAACTGCCCACGTGCCTGGACAGGGTCCATGGCCTGCTTCCTCTGGAACACAGCCAGATGGAAACATCGGCCACTCCCTTCTCAATGCCTGAGCAGAGAAACAGACTGTGTGGCACACTCTGCAAGGTGGCAGCTATGCCTGGAACTAAGGACACCAGGCTCATGGTACCAGGCTGCCAGGCCAAGTGTCTTGCTCAGCAGCCTCCTCGGGAAAAGCAAGAACTTGTGGAGGGAACGGAGGCCATGGTAGTAGCACTGATTTCTAGTCTCTGTTTGCCTGGTCCTGGGAGAAACCCAGCCCTGACTAGACCGGGACACATGGTTTTCCTAGGAACCGAGACTATTTTTAGCAACAGGCAACCATAAGCTTGAAGATCCCTCTACTGAGGCTGGGGCTGCTGCCCCTGCTGCTCGCTAAGCTTTAGGTCTAAGCCTCTTTCCTCTTTGTAGCAAGAGGCTACAAACCCTGGGACCTGCCTGCTGCCTTTCCATCTCCGTCCACCAGTCGCACCTTGCCTCGCTCCTCCTTTGCCTCCTCTCTGTTATGCATTAAATTCATAGCAATTACATTTATCCCTCAAATGAATGATTGCCACTCCATTTAATTAGCGCACGCCTGCTGACAGCACAGGAGTCTCACGAGAGGCTTACGGCATTCCTCGTTGCTGCTCTTCTCCCCTCACCGGCCACATTCAGCAAACTAAATTTATTACGATCTATTTGCCTTGGTGTGTTGCTTCGTCCGGAGAGGGTTGGAAGCCCCCACAAAACCTTTTCAGCAGCAGAGAAGAGCTGAAGTTATCAAAATGGACATTTTAAAGCTGCTTTAGGCATGCAAGGAAAGGCATGGGGGTCTGTTTGACCTGGTTTGGTTGCGGCTTCAGAATCCCCAAGGTCCGTGGCACTCAGGCAAGTCTGTCTCTTAGATGAAGAGAACTGGGATCCTGAAGTGGAGAGGAGAAAGGATATGGGCAAATTTCCTACTACCTGTGTTCACCACAGGGAAGGTGGCTTTCTGATGAACAGTCACTTAACTGTTCTCTCTTCCCATCGGGGACCAAGGCAAAGATGCTGGCTTAGAGGGCAAAAGGGATTTAGATGAGGTCTCCTGCCCATGGTGCCTTCAGGAAGGAAGACGCAGGTCATCTGTGGAATTTTCACTGCTAGCAATCCTATAGAACGAGGCCAGCCTAGGCCTATCTAGTAGTTGAGACCGGAAAGACAGAGTGTGCTGTGAAGGCTGCTCCTGCCTGCGGAGTTGTCTCCGTGGGAGTGATGGGGCAGAAGAGTGCTAACTTGGGTTTGAGGGCAGTATGGAGCCGAGCCAGCAATAACTCTGGCCCTGGTCATCCTTCCTCTCTGTCCCCTCTTTGTAGCTGGAAGGCCAGTGCACAGCTCTCCACAATGACAAACATGAAACCAAGGCTGAGAACACCAAGCTGAGACTCACTAACCAGGAGCTGGCCCGCGAGTTGGAGCGCACCTCGCGAGAACTCCAGGAGGCGCAGCAGCAGCTGGAGAGCCTGCAGAGAGAGGCCTGTGAGCTGCAGCAGGAGAAAGAGATGTGAGGCCAGCCCCTCCCCCCCCCACTCCTACTCCCCTACCCCGCACTGCCAACTGCTCGGTCCTGGGCTGGGGACCAGTATCTTTCTTTCCAAAAACCTGTTCCCTGGCCTGTGTGTGAAGGGGAGACTTAGGATTCTTATTCCTTGAAGTTCCATCTTCTCCCTTCTCTTCTCTCCTTCCTTTCTTCAACAGAGTCTCACTACAGAGCACAGATTGGCCTTGACCTTACCTTGCTCCTGCCTCAGTGCTCCTTTCAGTACGTTCCTAGGCACGTCAAGGTGACAGGCAGGGTTTGTCTTCAAGGCCCTGGTCTCCAGAAAGGTGTTATCAGATAGAAAGAGCGGCTATTCTACCCGCACATAAGGAGGCAGCCTGAGCAAAGACTGAAAGAGCAGAGGGCCTTAGATGCCCATGGCAGGCTAGAGACCAGGAGCCTCAGGTGAATGGGAGTGGGGAGGCCTCTGAGGTCAGCTGACAATGCGAATCATGTAGTATGTGAATAGGTATGTGAATCATGACTGGAACCATGACTCAATCCCTAGCCACTTTTTTTTTCTCGCAGTATTTCTCTGGGAAGACTGGGAATCCCACAGCTCTCCAAGTTTGGCTTCCTGTTCACTGTCCTTAGCACCCCGCCATTGTGAAGCTAGACAGAGGCAGAGCCATGCCTGAGAGCAAATCGAGGGGCTCTTCATCCACAGCTGGAGGGGCTGATGCCAAAGCAGCCCTTCACCTTTGGGGATATCAGATTTTTGAAAGCAAAGGACTCTGAGACCAGGCAAAGGGACTCTCTTATCTATTTGGCCACTTGTTTATCTACATACTCGTTGATACCCTCCCCTGACAAGTGGCCATGGCAAATTATTCCATGCCAGGTACCTTGGGCCTTCGACGTGTCTCACCAAGGTCAAGAATTGGACTTCCTCTCTTTCGATCACACCGTGTCCTTACAGGGCTGGTGGACTGTCAGTCTGACTGAAGGGGCAAGCAAGGTGAAGCCCCAGATGTTAACTGTGACACATGCCCTTCTCACACTCCAGAGGATAATAAGCCTTCTGGACACACCCATTCCCAGCTAAGAGCAGCACCCACCTTGCTCGCACACTCCTCACTTCTTCACCCATCGACACATCCATCCTGCCAGGAATCACTGTGTGCTTGAAAGGCATCAAGGGTTCTGACTTCAGGGCATGGAATGATAGGCTGACCAGCATTAAGGCTCTGCACATCCTAAGTGCCTTTGTTCACAATGAAAGCCCTCACTTTATCTGAGTGCCAGCAAGATTCTGGGACGTGAAGTACATCCAAAATGCCCCCACGGTTCTGCTTCTGTGTAGAGTCAGAGCCATTTGTGATGGACTGTCTGAATGAGAGGGACAAAATGTGTGTGGCCTGGGAATGTCATCCTAGTATCTCAAATTGTAAGATAAAAAAAAATGACTCCCAAGAAGCTGTCTTAGAATGAAACCCAGCCCCCATGTCAGGGCTTTGGATTGCTAGTCAGGGGCACCATGCATTCCATCAAACAGGCCGAGTCAGTTCTTCCTGTCTGAGAGCAGGGTGCCAAGGCATAGGGACCTAATTATGACAGAATTAGGGATTCAGGCACTTCAGATCAGACCGAGCTCTCAAAGCTGTGAACATCTGAAGGCAGAAACATTAAGACAGCGAAGGGAGACAAACACTTGTGCGGAGCGAGCATCCCAGCCCAGCACAGGGAGTTGGAAGCCTTCACACATCTCTTCTTCATTAAAGAGGCCGGAGATGCCATCTCTGAAAAGATGGGGTCAAGGGCACGAGGAGGAACGAGAATCAGGAAGCACCATGTTCAGGAGCCAGGAGTACGGTATGGATGCGGTGGACCCAGGAGAGCCTTCCCGCCCAGAGAAGCCGGGGAGAGAGTGCAAGAGCTTGGACTGACTTTCTGAAGAACAGAGACTCAGACCACCACTAGTGACAGCTCCATAAAGCTCCCAGTCCGAAAGATCACAGGCTCAGACAAGCCACACAGTCAGCTAAGATTAAGACAGGGTCTAAACTTCCTTCTCCGGGTGCTCCTGGGTGTCTTGTGGTGCCGTATTGCTTCAGAACTGCTGGGAGGGGAGAAGGAGGAGACAGGGTGTAAGCAGACTCGACCATTTATCAGCAAGCATTGCAAATGGACAAAATTAATTTTCCCTTGCTCTGAAAACATTGAAGGTAGGAAAACTAGATTTGGGGATGAGATAGAGGGGAAAAAAACCTCTCAAGCAGTGAGATAACACAAAAATGAAGGCCAGCCGAAAAATTGTACCTCTGAGCTGATTTTTAATTAACTTTTATCTTGAAGATACAGTTTAAGACAAGATACAAAAGAATGACTCCCCAAGAGAAGCTTGTCTCCTTCCATGACCCCTTTCTCCTGTGGATCCTGGAGTCTGTTATGCATGTGCAAATACAATCTCATACACACGCGCACACACACAAGCACACAATACACATAAATGCATATGTACATGCACACACTCAGGCACACACTTATACACATGTACATGCATACATGCATGCATACACATAAGCGCACATGTACAAACACACACACTCACATACTCATACACACACACAAACGCTTTCCTTTGGAGACTGGCAGCCATCCAGACATACAGGTCTGTTTTGCCTTTTCCACTTAACAACATATTTTGTAGAATGTTTCATGGCTCCTTTCTTTCCTAAAAACAAAACCAACATCAGCTCTCTGTGAGAAATTACCAACTTCCCATCAAGGACTGTAACAAAAGGCAGCTGGTCCTCTCTGTCCCAGTCTGTTATCACGCAGGGAGAGGTGACCTCTAGCTCGGAGGGATTAAAAGATTAGTCAATCAAATATCTGAGAGCCACTGTTTAATGATGCCCCTTGGTTAACACACAAAACTGTATAGCTGGATATAGCTATATGTGTGCATTTATGTGTATACCAATCGCCATAGATACGTGTTCACTTGACAGACAGATGAGCATGTATTTGCATAGGCATGTTCTCTCTCTCTCTCTCTCTCTCTCTCTCTCTCTCTCTCTCTCTCTCTGTGTGTGTGTGTGTGTGTGTGTGTGTGTGTGTGTGTGTCTGCTGGTGCTGTACACAGAGGCAAAGAAGACCTAAATAGCATGAGACTTGTCAACTGCTTTCTCAGTCAAACACTGACGCCACAGACCTCAGCTCTGCAGTGAGTTCCTGCCCTCAGCAGGGGACAACTTCTCCTCTGTCCCTGCTAGGCAGGGGTAGGAACTGGGGAGGAGTGCCTGAGCTGGGCATAGGCCTCTTCAGCAGCTGGGACCCAGACAGGAGCAGGCAGGGATGTATGTGTTGTGCTAACCAGAGCAGAGTCCCAGACAGGGGCTCAGGGACCCGGTTTGTATAATGGGAAATAGACTGTTTTCCCTTAAGTTGAAATTAAATATAATTGGTAATAAAATGCGAGGAATTCACATCTCTGCAGGAGCCGGCAGACTGGTGTTGCTCAATTAGGATTGTCTGAGGTGAACTTAGAATTTGAGTCAGTCTGTTATGGTTGTCAAGTGACTTTGTAATTGTTCTGTAAAGAAGAAGAAAGGAAAGATGCAGATGACGCTTAGGGCGGAAGTTATCAGGCACTTGGTGGGAGGGTCCCCAGGCAGACATTCGAGAGGTAGCAGAGGGGTGACTGTCTTTACAGCCCAGTGAGGTACAGTCAGATGGGAAGTGACAAGTTTATCAGGCTGCTGGGTGCTTTCTGCCAGAGAACCACACCGCTGTGGAAACAGGAACCCCAGGGCCTTGGTGGTGAGGTGGCAGAGATACTTGGATACTGTGTGGAGGTTCAGAGCCCAGGAGCAAGATGAGGCACAGCTGCCCACTTACATCATTCCTTTCCCTCCCTCCCCTTCTCCCTTCCTTCCCTCCCTCACCTCTTTCGTTTCCTCTCTGAAATGCTGCTGTTTGCTTGTACAATAGTAGCTGATCCCCCTCCTCCCTTCCCCACGGCCTCCACTCATTTGGCGGTGTCTCCTCCTCCTCAGGGAAGTGTACCGAGTGACAGAGAGTCTGCAGCGGGAGAAGTCAGGCCTCCTGAAGCAGCTGGATTTCCTAAGGTGGGTCTGTCAGGGGCCTGTACTCTGGAACAACACTGACACGAAATGGAGTAGTATTTTCTCATGGGGACCACCAGCCCAAAAATAATGACACAGAGACTTACTGTTAGTTATAAAAGCTCAGCCTTAGCTTTGGCTTGTTTTGAACTAGTTCTTAGAACTTAAATTAACCCATATTTTTAAATCTACATTCTTCCACAAGGCCCATTACGCCATCTCTGTACTGCCCATTCTGCTTCCTCCACGTCTGCCTACTGACCCCTCTTTTTTCTTCCCAGAGTTCTCTCTCTTCGATCAAAAGTCCCACATATGTGCTCCTGCCTAGCCATTGGTCTTTCGACTTTTTATCACACCGATCACAGCAATACATTTTCACACAGTGTACGAATATCCCACAACAACCAAGAGTGCCCACCGTTTTCCCAGTCACCAGCGTATGTGTTGGATAGCTGAGTGCTGCCTACTGGGGATATGTCCTTGTCTCCTTGCATGCCCACCTTCCTCTATGGTCCATTCCTCTTTGTGTCAGCCTCTGCCTCATCTTTGGTGTCCTTATGGGGGCAGTGCATGATCCTTGGTTGAATAGGAATAGGTATGGATGTGCAGTTACTCTATGGCAAGTATACAGTCTCACCTCCAACAGAAGCAGGACGTGGTGAATTCTGGAACCAACCAAGAGCATCTTGGTGTTAGAGAAATGAAATCCATGCCTGGTTGACTCTTCCCTCAGCCCTGGAATGAGTAAATGAATCACACTTAGGGCCAAGAAAGGAGTTTCCCCAGCTTGGTATGGAAGGTAAGCCTGGACAATGGCAAAGTGAGCTGCTCATGCTTGAAGAAGGCTCATGTTGGCTAAGTGGTGAGCTGGCGACCTGAATGAGCGTTTAGAAGGCCTTTAAGCGCAACCTTTCCTGGCTGTCATTGAAAACAATAAGACACTGCGAGTGTTCCCTTTAAGAAGGATGGCATTGCAGGTCCCTTATCTCGGTTGTTATTCCTTGGGGCTGCCTGAAATCTGATCCTGCAGGGCACAGTGCACTTAGCAAAGTGCTAGGCTCGCAGTCACAGCCAGCAGATCTCTGCATTATGATCACTAGTGCCTGACTGCTCCTGAGCCTGCTCGTCCCCTCCAGAAGTGAGGACTGGTTTGCGGCCGCCAGCACAAAAAGGTGCATCACCGGAAGAGCCTTGCAGTTATTTGTGTCTAGTTCGCCTCACAAACAGCCCACATCCTGGGTGTGTTCACTCACCCACTCTGAACTTCCGCTAAACCTTCAGGAACGCTCCACTTTCTACCCTCCCACTTGGTCTCCTGCTTCAGAAATAGCCTGGAGGAGTTCACTGAGCTTGCTCCCCATTGCCAGCACCCATGTCTCTGACTCTGTAGATGTGCTGTGGGCTCCCAGTGCTCCTAGCTAAGGCTATCCCCATGTCATCCTTGTTCCCAACTAGAGTTCTCAAATGGATCCATCCTCTCCTGGTCTGTTGGCTTTCACACTGACTTCCCATCTTTCAGTGCTCAATGATCCAGGCTGGCTTTCTCCCCAATAGTTCCACCCAAACTGTCCTTGCCCACATCACCAATGACTTCGACTTTTTCAAAAATATCAGTCCATTCTCAGGACTGAACCTTTGTCTCTGACAGTCTGTTCTCAGCAGAATTTTGGAGGGGAGCAATCATCTCGGTGCTGTAATCAAACCATGACCTCCCCTGTCAGATATCCCACCCAACCCCACCAAAAAGCCATGATTTCCTGCCTTGTTTAGAGTGACAATCAAAGCCTTTCCTGTGGCCCCGAAGGCTGTGATTTGTCAAGTCTCCATCCACCCACTGTTCTCCAACCTCATCTCTATGAGCTCCCTGTGTCCCTCCCTCCTATTTCTCCCACACATGAATTTATCACAATCGAGCCTTTGCCCTGTTCAACCCTCTGCCCAAATACTCTTTCCCCAGATACCCACCCAGCTCTTCTCCCCTCCCTAGGGTTTGTCAGATGCTGCCTCATCAGCCAGGGCTTCCTGTAGTAATAGGAGTGGCGGGGCTGCGTCCCCAGCACCCCGGCCACCTGGCTAGCTTATGCCCGAAATAACAACACACAAACTGTATTCATTTAAACACTGCTTGCCCATTATATCTAGCCTCTTCTCGGCTAACTCTAGCACCTGGACTAGCCCATTTCTAATAATGTGTGTAAGCACCCCAAGGTGTGCTTACCGGGAAGATTCTAGCCTACGTCCATCCTGGGTCGGAGCTTCATTGCGTGTGGCCCTGAGAGCAGAACTATCGAGAGAGTGGAGCATGGTGTCTCTGCTCCAGAGAGCAGAGCTGTCGAGTCTGAGCTCACTTCCTCTTCCTCCCAGCATCCTGTTCTGTTTACTCCTCCCACCTATGTTTTAACCTATCAGGGCAAGCGGTTTCTTTATTTAATTAACCAATGACCTTCCTCCATCATTTCCCCTTTTTCTGTTTAAACAAAAAAGGAAGGCTTTAACTTTAACATAGCAAAATTACATATTACAAAACAGTTATCAAGTAAAAATTACAATA